AAACGGTGTAGAAAAAATGACGATGGAAAAGGATAATGACATTCATAAAATTCAAATTTTGTAACAATCGCTTCTTCTTTTTAGATAAATTTGGGATGTTTGAAAATTTCAAATTTTTTTTTAATATTTTTCATGAACGAGTTTGAAATTTGAAAGAAAAAAAATTTTTTTTTTATTCTTAAAATTTGACAGTTAATTATAAAATTATTAATGGCATAAATATGGATGAGAATTTTTTAGTATTATTTTCAAATTACTTATTTATATATTTGTAAAATAATTTGAATTGGCTTAGTTGAAGCAATAAAAATAAGTAATCAAAAATAACTTTAATAGCTTTTCCAGCAATCATTCCACTTGGTTTTGCTTATTTGAGAAAATTACTTGTATTTTTATGGGATTTTTTTTTTTTTTGATCGTTTCCTTTGGATACTTAAAAAAAGAAGGAAAAGGAAAAACCAATGCTATGCAAATTATTGATAGTATTTTCTGGTACTTAAAAGCTTTTGATCTTGCTATCGGAAGTAATTTTAACTCTTTCATCATTTATAAGGCTTAATTTAAAAGCATAAAAAAGAATGAAATCTTTGAAATAGCTTAATTTAACCATCGTTTTGTTTTAATTTTATTGCTAAATAAAAGTAATACAAAAATTTTTGCTCCCTTTAAAATTATCAATCATGAAGTATTCGTGTAAATTTATTAACAAAATTTATTATTGCAATGATACAGAGAGTTAAAAAAGTAAAAAAAAAAAAATTGAAATATCAATTTCGAAATATTAATCAATTTAAGCTTAAAAAAGTTCAAATAACGATATGGTACATTAAAGAATTTAATCGTAAATTAAATTTCAAATTTAACGAAGTTAAGTTTCTGCATTAAACTATTAAATAATTTAATTTCAAGTTCTTTTTTTTTTGCAAAAAACAAAATGTCAAACGAAAGAGAAAAGTAATATTAATTTTTTTTCAAAAACAAAAAAAAAAACCTTTTGCAACTTTTTTTTTGAATTTTTTTTAAAATTTCCACAACATAATAGATTTTGTATGAACTGAAAAATTAAGAAATATAATTAGTAATATTCAAATTATTCGAATAAAAGATAAAATTGTAAAGTTCAATGTGTTAAAAACAATTTAAAAAGTTATAAACAAAATATTAACCAAATTAAATTTGAATGCTAATAAGATTTAGCTTTTTTCTTTTCTTATTTTTCAAATATAAATTTAAAAATAATTTTTTAACTCTATTTATGCTTTAATTAAATTATGCTTCGACTTCAAATTATCGAAAACTATTTTACGAATTTGAAAGCAATTCAATTTGATAAATTAAATTTAAATTAATAAACCTTTCGTTATTTTCTTTTTTCTTCAAATTCAAATTTCACAATAATTTTCCAGTTCTATTTATGCTTTAATTAATTATACATTAGGAGAAATTTCACTAGCCCATAACTTATCACAATTTATATCATTTGATATTTCATGGAATATGATAAGAATTTCCCCTTGGCATATTTTATTAATTTGATAAAGTTAGCTTATCATTTGGATTTAAATAATGTTAAAATGCTAAATTAAGTTTTCAACCAGATTTCCGCTATTTATTTTATCAAAACAATAAGCTTTTTCCTTGCTTTTTCCTTTAAGCAGTTTTTCTTCAATTAAAATCATCAATTTTACTTCTCAAATTAGCAATTTCTATGAGGAAATAATCTTAGTGGACATTTGGAAGGACATTCGAAAGTGGACATTTCTTCTCCTCTTTTTTTTTCTCCCATTTGATTCCCTACTTTCCGCTATCCCCGCTTCCCTTGTCATTCAAATTGTCATAAGAGAATGATATGACTCTTTATCGATGGAACTTTGCAATTCATCAATACTTCACTTCAATTTCATAAATTCATTTCAAAGATCAACTCTTCCTCTCTCCTCCCCCGCTTTCTTGTCTTCCTACCTTTTCTCTCAGTCCTCCTTTAGCATGATAAATAATAAACAACTATGAGAATTGTAAATAAGAAAAAAAAATCATAAATAATTTAAGGATGGAAAAAATGAAAAAATTAGGGAACGAAAAGCAAAAATTATTTTTTTCAGGAAAAATAAAATTTTATCGTAAATTTAAAAAGATTTTAGGATCAATTTTTTCATTCATTCATTTATTTTTCCTTTTTTTTTCAATTAATAATTTAATATCGGATATATAATCAGTAATGGATTACCGAATTTACGAATGGTAAAAGTAATGAAGTATGTTTCAATAAAAGTCAGTAATCGAATTCGGTAATTTTGTTATTAAAAAATGAAAGAAAAATGAAAGAAATGCTTGGAATAGTAATTAATCCGAATATTCCGAATAATATTCCGGAAAATGGATAATAGTGTTCCGGACAAAATCATCTATTTGCAAATGAATATTGCAATCAGATTAACGATTTTGTCTTTTTATGAATCATTTTTTCCTCTTCCATTCATTTCCTTCTTTTAATTTGATAATTTGATAGTAAAACTACCCGAATTCGGCTAATAAAAATTCGGGTAAAAATTAAATTCGGGTAAAATTACCCGAATTCGGCTCAAGAGTGAGAA